AAAACACATTCCTTTAAAATCATTTGTGCATCAGTTTTAAAACCCATAACAAAATTTTGGTCTGGGGGTTTTTTGCGGAACTATATCGGGTTAAAAATTTAAAATTTGATCACGAATCCCGTACGTTTTTCACTGGTATTATTGCCTGTCAAATTTTTACGAACCTTTTACAAAGGTATTTAAAGTGGTGGAACATGAGAAAATAGATTTGAAAAAGGAGTCAAAAATACAGTATAATGCAAACCTTATTGACATCTTTTCGCCCACACAGTACTTTATCGATCCAAAACTGTTTTTTGCTTTATAAACCCAAGTGTAGGTGAAACAGGGCTAACCAAAGGTCAGTCACATCTCGCCGCAATCTGTGTCTTTCAAAATTGTGGATTCAGGGCTCTCAGTAAATTTTTTACGCGGTGTAATCTGAGGGGAGAAAAAGAAGGTAGCTGGAGAGCGGTGGAGAGGAGAGGCAATAAACTCAATATTAATAGGAGTGAAGGAGCTTTGGAAACTAGGTAATCGTTTACTGTCTTATGTGACCGATACAGATGAAAAAGACATGTGTTTTCGTATGTTTTTTCTCTACTTTTCGGCATCATATACCAAATTATATCATGATATCTTACGGAGGAACAAACTAGGATGACGTTAAAGGTTATACCAATCTTACTGTTGATGACTCGCAGATATGCATTCTGAGACAGGGACAGGAAGAATAGGATGAGTGTCTCTTCCTGAAGCTGGGTGGATGATTTTGGGGACAGTTTGAGCTGTAGATAAATGGTTCAGAGAACAGACAATTTAATAAATTAGACACATATGCAACACTTGGTACCCTTATTGAGGAAAAGTTTCGTCAAACAGTGGCTTCATCAGTTCAGTACAAAGAAGAACAGTGAAGATTAGGAGGAGACTGAGATAATGAGTTCCTAAGCATGGAGTCGATGTAATCAATCCATCAATCTTGGTAACAATACAGCAAACATATGCACATGTTCTGTAATCTTACCAGGATTGATGGACTGATTACATCGATTCCAGGCCGAGGGACTAATTACTTCAATCGCCTTCTTCTTTGTATTAGACTGATGAAGCCACTATGTGGCGAAACACTTTCACAATGAAGATACCAATGTGTTGCACATGTATCTAATTTATCAGTTTGAGCTGTATCCTGACTGGAAGCGATAGGAACCCATCGTTTTCCTGAGTCTAAGGGGAGGGACTGCATGATGGCTTTTTAAAGGGAAATGCTGAAAAAAAGTAAAGGAAGGTTGTTATATTATTAAAAAAAGGGGGGGTACACTTTTTGTATGGGGCATTCTGCCTAGGGTGAAAAATGGAAAAAAATGCTTCCGCGTCCTTTGGGGTTAATTTCCAAACGGAAAGTACGAAAGGCATGACAAATTTTATTAAAAACTTGGAAACCTTTTCCCTCAAATGCCTTCTAAAACAAACACACATATTTGAAGTTTAACTTTGGCGGGGAAGTGACGAAGTAGCATAACTTCCTTATGATTTAAAATTTGTTTACATGATGGTTTTGGGAAAATTTTCATTAATTGAAAGTGTGAACTGAGTACATTGTTGAACTTTATAAAATAACAAAGAGGAAAGTTAAACCTCACAAAAACTTCATAAAATTAAGATAAGATTACTTGGAAGAATAAGTTGTTCATCTTGAACGATAAAAAAAACAACATCAGAAATTTACAGAAATTAGTTGGTAATGACGTAAGCACAATAAATAGGAAAAATGCGAGAAACAGAGGGAAGGCACAAACCATAAATTGTCTCTATATTTATCACGAGAGTGCAAAGGACAAGTGACGTAGCAGCAGCAACACACACAGCAAGAGGCATTCTTAAACTTCCTCAGCGCTCGGGCTTAGTGCCCAAAGTTGGGGTGTGGCTCCAAAAGGATACTGTATTTCCTCGAGTGTTTTTTTCTCGAGTGTGTTTTCTCGAGTGTGTTTTCCCCGAGTGTGTTTTCTCGAGTGTGTTTTCCTCGAGTTTTGTTTTTCTCGAGTGTGTTTTCTCCCAGTGTGTTTCTCGGTGTGTTTTCCGAGTGTGTTTTCTCGAGTGTGTTTTCTCGAGTGTGTTTCCTCGAGTGTGTTTCCTCGAGTGTGTTTTCTCGAGTGTGTTCCTCGAGTGTGTTTTCCTCGAGTGTGTTTCCTCGAGTGTGTTTCCTCGAGTGTGTTTCCTCGAGTGTGTTTCCTCGAGTGTGTTTCCTCAGTGGTTTCCCCGAGTGTGTTTCCTCGAGTGTGTTTTCCTCGATGTGTTTTCCTTGAGTGTGTTTCCTTGAGTGGGGTTTCCTTGATTGTGTTTCCTGATGTGTTTTCCTTGACTGTGTTTCCTCGACTGTTTCCTTGACTGTGTTTAATCGACTGTGTTTATTGAGTGTGTTTCCTCGAGTGTGTTTCCTTGACTGCGTTTCCTTGACTGTGTTTCTTTGACTGTGTTCTCTTGACTGTACTCACCTTGCGGTTGCAGAGGTCGATTCATAGCTCCTGGCCTCGCCTCTTCACTGACTGCTACTATGTCCTTCCTGCTCCATGAACTTTCTCAAACCTCGTATTAAAACTATGTATGGTTCCTGCCTCCACTACGTCACTTGTCAGACTATTCCACTTCCTGACAACTCTGAAGAAATACTTCCTAACATCCCTTTGACTCATCTGAGTCTTCAACTTCCAATTGTGACCCCTTGTTTCTTTGTCCCATCTCTGAAACATCCTGTCTTTGTCCTCCTTGTCAATTCCTCGAAATATTTTATATGTCGTTATCATGTCTCTCCTAACCCTCCTATCCTCCAGTGTCGTCAGGCCGTTCCCTTGAAATTTTTTCGTAGGACATCCCCTTAACTCTTGGGCAGTCTTGTTGCAAACCTTTGCGCTTTCTGTAATTCCCCTTTACGTGGCCTTGACCAAAATGTGGGTTCCAAACTGGTGGGTGCATACTCCAATATGGGCCTGACGTACACGGTGTAAAAGTCTTGAACGATTCCTTGCTGAGGTATCGGAACACTATCCTCAGATTTGTCAGGCGCCCATACCTACAGCAGTTTATTGGATATGTACGCCTCAGGGGTCCTCAGTATTAAAACTCACCCCGACACTCTTTTTCCCTTTAGTGAGATTTGCAGTCTTTAGCCACCTAGCCTATACTCTGTCCCCGATCTTCATGACTTTGCATTTGGCAGGGTTAAATTCTAAGATCCATTTGCTGGATCAGGCTTCCAGCCTGTCCAGTTTTTCTCTGTAGTCCTGCCTATTCCATCCATTAAATCTCCATTAACTCACATCATTGCAAACAGGGACACTTCCCGACTCTATCCCTTCCTCATGTCAACGCATATACCCAAAACATCACTGGTTCTAGGACTGACCCCTATGGAACCCCGCTCGTCACAGGCGCTCACTCTGACACCTCGTCACGTACTGTGTTTCGTGAATCATGACTCGTTGTTGCCTCCCTGTCAGGTATTCTCTGATCCATTGCAGTGCCTTTCGTATTATGCGTGCCTGATCCTCGAGCTTTTGCACTGACTTCTTGTGAGGAACTGTGTCTAAGGCCTTCTCGCTGTCCAAGAAGATACAGTCTACCCATCCCTTTTTCTTCCCTGTCTACTCCGTTACCTTGTCATAAAACTCCAGTAGGTTTGTGACACAGGATTTCTCTTCCCTTAAACCATGCTGATTGTCGTTTATAAGATTGTTCCTATCTAGGTGCTTCATCACTCTCCTCCTGATGATCTCCATGATTATGCACATTATATAATGCACGTCAGTGAAAACTGCTCGTAGTCTAATGCCTCGTGCTGTCTCCTTTCTTAGAAATTGGGACTACATGTGACACCTTCCATTCCTCAGGTAGTTGCCCAGTTTCAGGGATGTATTTAAGATTTTTTAGTCACAGATACAAATCCCCCCTCTAAGGGCCACGGGAATGTTTTTTCCATCCTTGAGTACAGTTCACATAGCACTTTAACTCCTTTGCATGGATTTTACCCAAACATTTTTGTGACCCTCGTTGGGGTAAACCCCTATCCTGACTTCCTAGTCCTTCCCTTTTCTCCTGTGAATACACTTTTAAAACTCATTTGAGTCCTCACACACTTCTTGTCGTTTCTTGTGAATTCCCTTTCCCGCCTGATTA